TGTCAGTATAAGCTGCATTATGCCACAACAGAGTAGTTTACGGCAAACTAAAAAACTAGAGTACAAACTGAGCAAACGTGCCTAACTATTATGTATCTTCACTATTTATAAATATATTTTATTACAGCACCACAACAAAATTTAAGTGTAACTTTTCATTTATAATTAATTAGATGTGGCTCCATACTACATTTTTGACATCTTATTAAATATTTTTATTATAACTCTATATAGAATCAGTAGATTTGTAAATATTCAAGAGATAAATAAAATTTTATTATTTATTTTATTATTTACCATGAATAACAAATAAAAATAACATGTTAATAACAATTAAGAAACAATCCAGAATTCGTGAACCCAAATATTATTAAGTTACATTACCTTAGTTATTAGTAACCTATCATTATTACGTAACATGTATTTAATATTGATATACTTAATACATTGTACTGTTCATCACAACAGCAACTGTTTACAAAATTCCTCTAACTGCCATAATATAAAAACAATTTAACGCAGTTTTATCATGAAGACCGTAACCAGAGAGGTTATTTGGGACAGTATCTCAGAAATGCTTCTTAAATATGACAAAGTAAGTTTGAGGATAGCTATGGAAAGAAGTTCATTGAATTATCGAGAGCACAACTTCAATTTTACGAATAAAGATAACGCTCATATTGCAATTTTCACAGGGACATTGTGCATCCTTTTATTTAAAAAAAAGGTATTACCATAAATTATTTTAGCATCTACTGGATATCTTTATTAGATTTGCTGCATACGCAATTAATTTTTTTTTACTACAGCAAGAAATATCATGCCTAGATATGTGACGTAATGAATATCTGCCAGTCTGCTCATGTCTGAATCAGAATTGTCTTGCGGCTTATAAAGAATAACAAGAAAATAGAATAAATACCTTTATTATAAAAAAATAATAAGCTTTATTTCTTCTCCATAGGGGTTCTGGTGTGAAGATATTAATATTTACTATTACATAAAATTATCCCAGATATGTTATACTTTTTGTGTGAATTTTATTTAGTTGAGAAAAATAACATCGTTGAAGAATAAATCAAATTAACAACGAAAAAAAATGTGGAGCAATAAATATTAAATACTAATAACATCGATTTGAAAATTTTGTGTGTCATCTTGATTCGTAAATGAAGTCTGCGAATTACCATTGAAGCTGCACAATCGTTAGGAAACTCAAAAACAAGTTCGTGTCGAATGATGGCGCGTCATGATAACAAATTTTGAAGTAGGGTCGTCTCGACACGTTCATGAGATTGCTACAGGTAAGGTGATAAATCTTGGATTTAGAAAACAAGCGTCAATCTGCGTTTGGTTGTTTGAAAGTAATACAATGCTTAAAAGAACTTTAAGTAATAAGTTTTTTAAATAATTTTTCTTTTCATTGTTAATTTAATGTTACCTTGCCAGTATCATTACAAAGTAAATGAGCATTTAAAAGAATAATAAGCATAATAGAAGGACAATATGTGTTTATCTAATAATTATTTGGTTTTCATTAAAACTAATAAATGTTTCTGGTGTTTACAATTTAATAAAATTTGATCCACGTAGCTTGCTAATGTTAAATATTATGAAAAACATAATGAAGTTTTCTAATCTTGTAAAGCAATCTTAAAATAACGAGTTAATGTTTTAGTTTGCATGCTAATTATTACTTTAAATACAATGGGTATTTCAAAGTAAAAACTAACATTTTAATTTTTTTTTTTTTTGTAACCAAATGTTATTGTATGTTTTATTTTTTATTTGAATAAACTATTTTCATTATAAAATATATGCATTATATCTTTTCATTAAAAATCAGTTTTTTAAAACCTAGATTATCAAGAAAAATATATTTAAAGTCATAAACCAAACGATTTACAAGTACTAATAACGATTTTTCCTCATTTTCTCTTACTTGCATCACCTCAATTGAATTTGAGAACTTTTTTCCCCATAATTTTTTTTCGGTTTCACCTCATTTACATAGATATATTTTATGTTTCCGTTCATTTTACTCTAATACCGTAAGTATTACTGAAATAATCTACTATCACTGGTAATTTCAATGTTTTTTGCTCAGTAATTATTATATTTGAAGGCTCGCAAACTAAAAATTCATTGTTAAAACATAGGTAGTTCTTGAAATCTAATTGCTAAACGATACGAATTTAATATCATGCTGTAAATCCGCCCCGTAATTAGTTCACCGAGATATTAATGAGGTTATAACCTCGTAATATTCTACTTGCAACATCTATACTGAAACAACCACATCACACATGCACCATTATTTACGCACATCCACGCTAAAATAATAACCCCACGTCAGTTGCGTATACATGTAATAGAAAGTGCTTCATATACCTACCTCGTAAACCAAGATAGACGTGAATCTCAAATTGAGGAATATCTCGCCTTTCACTGTCTGTATTTATTTACTTGCGCGAAATACAAGCATTGTGTCGAAAGCAAGATTGACTTAAAATCGCAACAATGCGATCGAGCGATAAGTGAAGACGATTATAGACAAAAGTATTTTTATTCAAAGAAAAATGCGATATCAAAGCGGATCGTTATCTTTTCAAACTGCAGTACAAATTGGAAACTATGAAAATGTAGTCTTTGTACAACATGCTTTAATTGGATTTCGTAGACCCAATAAACAGGAGTGCCGTTTTGTTATACGTTCTGGGAAACGATTTTATTAGTATAAGTATATACATATATACCATATACATATCTATGTATAATGCCATTCTTCACCAAGAAGATAGACAGCTTGTGAATTATATGATATAATATACAGTATTTATTCAATATTTATTTTATACACAAAATAATTATTTGAATACAAACAGACATACAATACATTGACAGATCCGATAAAATATTTATTAATCACTCTTTTCAAATACAATTATTATCACGATGTTATTTCACCTATAGAGACAGAAAAGAACGAGAAATTGTGTGCTATATTCCCTGTACTATATAGATATATCACATTAAAAAAAAATATTTTTATGACAAATTCTCTGCAAATATTTTGTACATAGATAGGTAATTTTATTTTATATTATTATGCGCAAACTTTTAAATAATTTTCATGTTAAAAGAAACCGTAATTTTATTCTAGAGTATTCGTATTTTATAACCTTCAATCCTATCTTAGTAAGTCCACAATATCTACAATCCCATTGAGAAGCTCTATAGAAAAATTTTAATTAGTAACCTTTCTAACGAAAGACATTTCATGATTAGTCAGCTCAACAGCAGTTTTTACTCTCTTTCCATAAACTAGTTGTAACAAAATGTGGTCAGTCTTTGTTGTAAATTTTATTCAAATCTGTTCCGCCGTTTCAACATAAACATACAGACAAGCATTTTTACATATTTTCACGTTTAGGTATTAATAGATTAAATATATAAAGCAATTTATTAAAATCATGTCACCATTAGTAGCCGAGGCTATTCGAAACAAAAGCACTGACTTGCTTTTTACTCGCAGATTTAGATCGCAGAGATCACAGATTAGCAAAGCAATACAACTAGATAAGGCAACTAGATATCCAGATATCTAGTTGAGTCACCCAACTCACATTTCTTGAAATAAAATTTTCCGAATTTGATAATTCTGATCATCATTGTGACTTATGTTTACTGATATTATAACAGTGAAAGTGAGTATGTTTATTACCTCTTGACGCCTTAACGGCTTAACCATTTGTCATAAAACTTAGTATACACATAGTATTTAAAATTATGAGCAAAATAGGCTACTACTTACGAGTATGTCGATCAATCAACATACCTTGGTTAAGAGTACGAAGTTGTGGGTAAAAGCTAGTTGTAATTGACTAGATACTACTTAATTTACATTTTGATAAGAAATATATTATAATATAATAATTCTATTTCTAATCCAAATTATTAAAGTCCCTAATAAAATAGGTATGTGATATAAGTTAGACATATCAATGGCCCCATATAACGCACTAACGAGCATAACGGCTGTTACACCAACTTTTTACATAACTTTCAAAGTCATTTTGCCGATTCCAGCACGTGAATCTAGAATAAGGGTCACCCTTTATTTTTTGTTAACATTTATAATGCTTGTAATTTAGGAAGATATCTTCCTATAATATGCGTGATTTCCATTGAAATTATAAGTTAGTAATAAATAAAATAGGCTTATCTAACTTATCTGAATAATATTTTTATTGATTTCCATTTTTTAAGTGTAGCGTAGTAGTAGCAATTGGCGTTCTGTAAAGTGTCTAATGTAAAATGTAATGTATGGTAAAAATACTTACGTGAATTTATCTTAATCCTAAAAGTCGTAAGCAAAGCTGGTAATGTTTTTCAATCTTATATATCAATGTTACCTATAATTTACTATACCTAATAAGTCAATGTACATCTACACAATTCAATACATTTATTTACTTCCATGTAATACAACTAACAAACTGTTATCAAATTTATAACTAAACCATAATAACAAAATTAATATTTTTGCTGATGATACTGTTTATATATTGTAGAATTAAAATTTCAATATAAAGCAGTTTTTTTGAGATTCTTTAGTATAAATAACAGTCAATTTAGTCAAATTTATATAGTAGTACCAATTTAAGAAAAGTTTGAGTTTACGAGAAAAGCTCAAATGGTGACATCGTATAGACAAATGCAGTGATATGGCACGAAGACCTCACATGTATTGAGAGAACCAAGCTGTCACTGAATGCAACTGCATCATAATTACTAGTTATAACGTTCTGACTTGGTTTACTTTCATCCGATAAGCCATGTCAAAGGGATTCGTATATAACGAGAGCGGCCTAAAAACACTTGATACCAAAATGTAACCTCACACGATTTTCCAAAATAAGTAATATGTTGCATATATTACTCGTTTTGGAAAATCATTTTTAGGAAATGAAAATTATGTACTACAAAAATATATTTCGAATTTCATTTATTTCAACTTTAAAAGAATGCTTCCATGATATCACTTCGCTTATAAACAATTTATATCCTTATCATAATCATCAGTTCAAATATTTACAATTTTATAGTTACTAACAAATACTGAACTTCTGTCTGTACATAATCTACTTAATTACTAAAGTAGAAATGATCAACGACTGGTTCTTTTTTAACACACTTTACTTTTAGTCAGTGGTGATAAAAATTCACAACACAGCACCTGCTATCTATTTAATTACGATACAACAAAGTAGTAAGCCACTCAGGTCTGGATTGTTGTGGCTTGTACTCTGGTGGACTAAGAGCTAACGGGGACGCTGCATCAGCTAGAGCTACAGAGGATGAGGTTTCTGTCACAGCTACACTTGGTTTTCCTTTCAAAATAGATCTCAATTCTTCGTTATCTACTGCTCTATTTCTCTGTAAATTTTCTCTAGTTTCTTTCATCCTTGAAAGTTGCTCTCTTAAGCTCCTGTATTCTTCTAAAAATTTTTCAAGCTGTGATGCTCTAAAGTCAAAATCTTCCAATGGTTGACCGGTTCGACTATAATCACGAAGGCCTGAAAGATCTAACAGAGGTGTAGCGGACGGTACTGTGGGCTGTTCCCTCGATGGCGATGCGGGAAGACTAGGATTACGATGAATCCTATTACCACCCGTAGAAAGGTCTAAAAAACTATTTGATCGTCGCCCAGAATGCCTTTGTCTATTTTTTTCATAAGGTCTATCAAAAAATGTAGCTGAATCTCCACCAGAACTATTTCTTCTACTACTAAGTAAAGGACTACGACTATCTCCATCTTTTCTTCGAGGAATAGTATAGAAATAATAAGGGTCATGTTTCAATTCATTCCGTAAATAAGAAGAAGTTCCTAAAGCACTCATTTCTATTAAGTCCGGGTAGTTTTTTTCACTATCGCTCCCCGAAAGGTCATTATCAAGACGATCGCGTGTTCGTGGTCGAGGACATGATCGAAGATTATTATTAAATCGATTGTTTTCTGATAAAATCTCTACATGTGCACTGAGGACTCCTGTTGAATTTGAACTCTGTACTGATTCTAAAGTTTCATCGGCGCTGTAACAAAAGAATCAGTATATTAAAATTTAATTATAAATAATATAATAATAACAATTACACTTATTTATTTCTCAGACTAAAGGATTTATAGCCTGTATCCAATTTAGCCTGATGTCTTTCTATATATAACGGTGGCCATTTAATATTTAGTCAATAAATTAACTATTATAAATGATATTACAATTTGCACATTCATAATAATAATAGAATTAATAAATTCTTGTTGTATCACGCAGGCAACAATTTGGTAAGCATACAAGGTACATAATTGTTACCTGCGTGATTAACATAACCAAAGATAATAATAGTGTAGGCTATAGTTACTTTATTTAATTTTTTTCGTTGTAAGCTCATGGCTAGAATATTATATTTTTATTATATTTTATTATAATACAACAGATTTTGCTCAGAGGAATATGATGCCCACAGCCACTTTCTACCATCGTACGGCTCGCCGTCGACAGGGTGTTCATCCTCATGTACTACAGCCTCAATGGTCGCGTACTGCGCGGTTTCAGATATGTTTCCTTTCACGAACACTCAGATTGTGGAATGAGCTCCCTGCCGAGGTTTTTCCAACAGCCTACAGCATGGGGTTCTTCAAAAGGGGGGTAAAGAGGTTTCTTCAAGGTCGGCAACGCACACGTAATACCTCTGTTATTGCAGGTGTTCATAAGCTACGGTAACCGCTTACCATCAGATGGACCGTATGCTTATTTGCTACTTCAGTGGTATAAAAAAATATATTATTATATACATTGTTGTAAATATAAATAAATAGTTAAAAAATTATGCAAATACTGCAAAACCAAGGTTATCGTGTGGATATTGTCAACTGAAGTCTGAAGAATTCTTCTCCACTCACCTCTTAAAGAATTCTATTTATGTACCCCAGAAATGTAATATTACTTGTAATATTGCAACAAAATTAGCTAGGGTGTTCCATTAAGTATTTCAGCAATCGATCAAATAAATCTCTGTACATTCCATTTCTTTTAAACTCAGGTATACAAAATATATTTTATAAAATAAATTAAATAAATAATTTGTTTAAGTATTTAACTTATATATATATATACCCTTAGATATACTAATCAAACTTATTTAAATTAAGTAATATCTGTTTTCGTGTTATTTCGTAGTTCAAATTAAAGAAATAAATACCATTAACGAGTTACTAATCAGTAAATATCAGCATTTTATTTCCACTAGATGAAAAACCTCATAACTTTACCTGTATGAAATTTACTTACTTCTAGGAACGGAATTATTAGTATTGAGTGTAACTAGAAAACTTTTGTAGGTTTTACATAGAGGTTTTTATGAAGTAGATTTGTATATCGTAGAACACTTTGAAACATTATATTTATACTCGTAGACTTCAGAATTCTGAAGTTAATTATTGATAAATAATTGATATTTCTCTTTTAAGTAATAAAGTAAGTAAAGTTTAAGTATTGATCTCAGCCGTTAACTGTCCACTGCTGAACATAAGCTTCCCCCTTGGAGGGCCAACAGTTACCACGTTTGGCTGACGGGTTGGCAGCCACAGTAAGGCTTTAGTGATGTGTTAAAAATGTTTATCGTATGTAAATGTTTATATCAGTTGTTATAGCGAATAGAGAACCAAAAAAAAATTAAAAAATGCATACTTTATTAAAATTAAATAAAATAAATCAAGTTTATTATATAAATATAATCATTACCGTAAGTTGTAGTCGCTGAATCGCGGTATATGAAGATCTCTTTCAGGAACACTATTTCTTGTATTTCTCGAACTGTACTCTGGCTGATGCCATGCCGTTTCTGTAGGTGGTGTTATAGATGTATCTACCTCTTCTTGTACCTCATTTCTCAAATAACTTTGATAGTCATCTTCCGGATCATGTGAAGGTACATTTCTATAATCTCCTCTTTTTCGACCTCCTTCGTTAGGTATAACTCTTGGAACTTCAACACTGTTTTTAATATTTGCCTCTATTTTTTCATAGCTATCATCACGATGATTTGTTGTCACAATCTGTTCATTCCACCTATCTAATTGTCTTTTTTTACGAGTTTCATAAGCACATAATACTATTAAACACGAACTTAATACTATCACAGCAGATACTGCCATCCCTGCCATAAGAGCTCGCCCACCAAAACTTCTATTTTGTGGTTTCTTTTCAATTACCAAACTTAAAGTCACTTCTGCTTTTCCTGCACGGTTTTCAGCATTACACGTATAAGATCCAGTATCCTGAATATCTGTTGATTTAATAGTTAAATTACTAGTTTTTCCTTCACTACGTAACATAAAAGTCCTTCCAGAATTGACATTAGTCGCTGTTGTATTAGCAAGTAAACGGCCCGCTCGAATCCATCTAACTCGTGGTGCAGGTACACCCGATACTCGACATACCAGCGTAACTTCTTCCCCTTCTACACCTTTAAAATGAGTTCTAGCTGCGCTTACTTCTGGTCGACACGCAAAATCTTCTAGATCAAGACGATCCCACGATTGAGACATTAACCGGGGTGGTAGAGCACAATCTGGTACTACTGTAGCAGGCACATTTCTTCTTATCATCCAATCCCGCATTGGTCTTAAAGCACAAGTACAATCCCACGGGTTATTTGCTAATTCCAAACCCTTTAGCGATCTTAATGGCGCTAAAACGGCAACATGTAGGACCTGCAGTTTATTTTTACTTAACTCTAAGTATTCAAGAGATGCTTCTAATCCAATAAAACCTCGGGGTCCAATTTCAGATATTTTACAGGCACTCAAAGTTAGCCGTACTAAATGAGGTAAAGCTAAAAACGCTTCATCTGATATTTTTGTTATAGGATTTCCACTTAGGCGTAACTCACGTAGCTCCGGAATAGAATCAAAAGCGTGCGATGGTATGTTATCGAGTAGATTGCGAGAAAGATCAAGTTCAACCAAGTTTACAAGAGCACGAAATGCAAAATTTCGTATAGTTCGCACGTTGCAGGAGGGAAGATACAGGCGTTGTAGATTAAGAAGACCAGCAGCAGCAAAAGCATCATTACGAAGAATAGGTAAGCTATTTTGGGCAAGATCAAGAAGTTGTGTGGTGGGATCGAGCCGTGGTGGGACAGCGGTGAGGCCAGCGTGTGCGCACAATGCAGATTCTTTGCCACTCCGCCACTTGCACTCGCAGTGGTGGGGACAGTCGGCGGTGGCGGCTGCCGCCAAAGCGAGTATCAACAGCACCCACATGCCCCGCACCAGCTCACCCCGCACCACTTCGTTCGTCTTCACCTCCGAGCGTCATCCCCTGGACGCCTTTCCTGTAACCAAAAGAATTCATATTAAAACAGTTTAGTATGTAACGTACAACAATACACGCGAGATTGATTTATTTTTAATTTACATACATACGAGTATATAGCATTTAGGCTATGTATCGGCATAATATTGACTAGGTAGAAGTAACACTCTCGTCAATTTAATAATAATGATAACACATTCGTTGTTCGAGCCTTCCACAAAAATTGAATTCCTTTTATCAGCGCGGTCGTCCGCCACTCAGACAACATTAAAATATGCTCATCATCATGTTTTGAGCCATAAGATGGCGCTTTATATATTTTTTTGTTATGTCAATTTAAATACTAATGTTAATGATTTATCTACTTAGCAGTCGTGAAAATGTACAGAATTTCGCAAAAATTAAATTAATACTTTATAGTAGTTTATTATTTATTTATTTGATCCATTTTACTATAAAGTAGATTATAATATTCTTTATTAATTTAATTAGTAATAACTATTTAAATACATTGATAATATTATATATTATTGATATTTATCCATATCGTGTATACTTAGACTATGACTTACGCCTTAGACTATGTTTGTCTATAAAAGACTGTCACAATTAAATCTTTTATCTATTTTTTCGATATGGTTATTGTTGTCGACTCATTTGGTGGTACCAAGTTCAAAAATAATAAAAATATTACAGACGTAACATTTTTTACATGGGATATACACATAGAATGTTTCCTAGATATGAATTGTACATGACTCAAATTTATTCACGTTATATATAATTGTTAACCCTTCTTTGCATGATTTTTTTTTTATTGGTGACATATATCAAGGTGATATAATTCATGTTCAAAATTATAGGAAAAATTATTAACAAAATAAATTAGACAGCTATGTTTTTTTTTTCTGCAATGGACATTAAAAAGGTATCCAGACACGATCATCTTAAAGTAAACTTGTTCTTTTATATAATTTTTGAGCATTCAATGTTATGATAGAAATTTCCACCATTATGCAATGAAGGGTTAAGTTATTTCTTATTACTTCTGTCGGTAAGAGTTCACTCTACACTTGTCTATACAAGGTAATATAGATTGCCAAATCATAACAGATTGCTTTTCATTATTTATGTGTGATAAAGTTATTTATTAAATGAGTATAAATATGTAACAACCTTATTTTAGTAAAGGGAAGTAGGGAAATAAGAGAAGTGTGATTTTGTCGACATCGATACACTCACGAAGGAAAGTATATTAGTGTTTCTGATTATTTATTTTAGTTGCGGTTTATAAGACAAAGTAAGGCAGTAAAATTACTAGCTACAGAATAATAATATCTAAGCTCTCATAAATGACAATCAGGACAACCCACATGGGATACTATGGGTACCTACATAAACTCATAACGTTTGAGATGATCTATTAGTCACGGTTACCACTTTCAATCAGATACGCCAATTGGTTATTTATGAATCCACATCTTTTACGACTTGCAAATAACCTACAAAAACATATAATACAATATTATACCCTGGTATAGGCTGATTAGAATAAAAAAATAGCCTATGTCTTTCTCCTTCCCATATAAGTATACTTATACAAAATTTTATAGTAATTTATTTAGCCGTTAAGACGCTGTAAAGTAACAGATTATAAATAAACTCACTTTCACAATTATATGGAATATTGTAAGGAATTCTCTTCGTTACACTCTATATTATTATTTTTGTATATTATTATTTACGTATCAAGCAACAAATCATATACTATTCCAAAATAATACTTTCCAATGAAAACCAATCCCTGTCGAGAAATTAATGAAATCATTTATGTTAATTTACTGATTTCATCCATATTCATTGGGATGGCCTAAAAACCAACAATTGAGCTCGGTTTCCGCTGAACATAATATGTTCATTCTGTGTAACAAATTGTACCGTTTTATTGGAATCGAACTTTGCAATCATTGTACCAATATTATTTAAATATTTAATTACATGAAACAAATTAATAATGGTGTTTTATAAGAGTTTGGAAATAGGTATTTTATTCAGAAAGGTAAATACAATTAAAACCTAAATTGTATTTACCATTCTGAACGTCAAGTTTGAGTTATAAGATGAAGGTATATTCCCTATATTTTAAATGATAATTTTCTAAACCCACTATTCTAGGCTTAACATCGATTTATTCCAAAAAACCTTACATGTATAAAACGTTAAAGTTACCTATAATATTAGTACGATACATTCATCATGATCATCGTCATAATAGTCTTTAACTGTTCACTGCCGAACATAAACCTCCCCCTTAGGGAGTTTTGGTAATAGTCGCTCCGCTTGTCAGGCGGACTGGCAACCGCAGTTAGTCCCTTTAGAAATGTTTTAAGAAGGACGCTGCTGCCCATTTCTCGCCCTCCCTTAGTCCCCTTTTACGACATCCACGAGAAAGGAAAGATAGCCTATTCTATGCCGGGACCACATGGCCTTATACATTACTACTTACTACTAAATGTAATTTATTATGAGTTTCTTAAATACACAAAACTTATTCGAGAGAATTCATGCTCACCATTGAATTTTTGCATTTTAGTTATTTTTGTTATTAAGTTGTTATTTCTAAAAACAAAAAAGAAATGTTTCTATAAAAAGGGTTTCAATGCTTTTAATGCCCATTCGTCTTTTCTTTATCTTATATAAATAAAAATGCCTACAATTGTGATCCCATAGATATCATAAGTCCTTAGTAATGAAAAAAATTAATTAAAATAAAACTAATTACACTATGAATAATATTTTTATTTGTAAATATAGCTAGAAAAACGGGAATTATTTTTTGTAAATAACGTCGTCCAAATGTAATCCGTTACAGTCACGGCACTCTTGCAAACGCCTTCTGAAATTGTCGATGACTGCGCGGCACGGCACTGCTGAAATGCTTGCCATTTCTCTGCGGATGTTTTCTTTTAGGTCATTAATTGACCGCGGGTTAGAGTCGTACACTTTAGCCTTAAGGTAGCCCCACAAAAAAAATCCATTGGAGTCAGATCCGGTCTACGTGGTGGCCAGGAAATGTCTCCTCTCTTAGAGATAACTTTGTTTGGAAAAAGTTGACGGATAACGGGCATAGCAGTATTGGAGGTGTGGGAAGTTGCTCCATCCTGTTGAAACCATGTTCGGGCATTAAAGCCTGGAAAGTTTTGCAATTTTTGTGTGAAAAACTCCTCAATCATGGCCACGTATCGCTCCGAAGTAACAGTAACAGCACGCCCTCTGCCGTCCTCAAAAAAGTAAGGCCCTATGATGCCATGGGCTGATATAGCGGCCCAAACTGTAACTTTAGGGCTATGTAAGGGCTTCTGGTGCTTAAGTTTTGGATTAATCGGGCTCCAATAGCGGCAATTTTGTTTACTAACATGTCCGTTAATGTGGAAGTGTGCCTCATCAGAGAACATTATGTTATTGAACGAAGTAAACCGATTAAACATTTCATTAGCATAATTCACTCTCTGAATAGCATCAGTTTCTTTTAATTCTTGCACCAACTGAATTTTGTAAGGGTGCATAAGTAAATCTTTCTTCAAAATCCGTTGTAACGATGTCCTGGATACGTTTAATGCACTGGAACGCTTACGAGTTGACTGTGTAGGATTTTCACGAATAGATTGTGCCACTGTATCGATGTTTTGTTCCGTACGTGATGTCCTTGGGCGACCCAACCGCGGTTTATCTAACATCGAACCGGTCTCCTCGAACTTAGCAACCCAATTCTTAATCGTTTGGAGAGCTGGGGTGTCATCAAAGTTGTGTAAACCTTTGTGTTCTCGAAATTTACGCCTCGCCGTTGCGTTGCAACCGTTGTTGCCGAATTGTTGTTTTGATAAAACTCGCGCACACAAAACGCACGGTCCGCTCCGGTGAAACGCTCCATCGCGATTAAATTCCCAGAAACCGAAGATACTGCCCCCGCTTCCCCTGCACCGCTCACGCGCGCCGTTTTCGTTTACTTCAAATTTTACTTTTCTAAGGACTTTTGGGCCACCCGTACAAAGCCAGCTGTAAATGCCCGTGTGTTTGTATATTTGCTGGATTTATGACTGAAGTTGTGTTCATGATGGCCTCGTATTAAATAATGTTATAACATCTTGTTTGGCCGTTGTTCATGTTACTGTATCCAGTTTGTAGTATTTACTAATACTATGCACTGATGATTCAATGGTCTGGACATTTTTCTTTATTATGTACAAGAAATAATTTAGATCTCAAGATTATAAGTTCGAATCACGCCGATATTACAAACTTGACTTGTCTCTTTAAACTTATTTTAATTCTCTATCAATAGAAAACACCATTAACAAATCAAATTTAGTCTATAAACAAATGTAATCTCGCCCCCTACCACGTTGAATTCAAATATACACGGTAAAATGTGGAAACATATCAAATTTTACGTTCAAGGATGACAGAAAGGATGACAGCCGTAAGCATAATTATGTATTTACTGTTTTTATTTAACGTCATCTGCCCCTGTGTCTGCGAACAAATCTTACAAGTTAAAATTTGGCCGGTTTTCGGTACACGATTGAGCTTAAATTTTACCTGCGTACCTATATCGTCGTCGAAATGCTAAGCCCGCGTTTTTTTTTTACTGTTACGTTAAAATGACTTAAAAGTCACAAAACTAGAGAATACTGATAACAAAAACAAAACAAAAGTGCCGTACAATACAGTCAAGAAATTCCCTGTAAAACGTAAATCAACAAGGCAACCCTTTCGCCAACTTGGGAGATTGGGAGATTTTAATTGTCTAGTTTTTTATTTAAATAAAAAACTATATTACGTAACGCGTTGTTCGAACCCCCTTCTCGCTCCTGTAATGCATCATGAAATTTCACAAAACCACCCCCCATAACAATTGTGTTACGTTTACGTTGCGTTACTTGAACGCTCCCTAATCAACTAACCAGTGATATGGACTTCCGCAAAGTAACGTCTACTTCAGAAAAGTAAATAATTCTATATTATATAATGAATTAGTGTACATTTCCGTAATAGTAGCTCCGTATCAATTTTAGGCAAAAACTCGTTTGCTTGCCATTGTGAGATAACTCGGCATTCAGCGTTTTCCTTACATTCAGCGGAATACAGGAATAAAGTAACAGTTCGGGGCATCGTATTATATTCTATATTCTTTATAGGTAACTAAATTTCTCATATTTTTTTTTAGATTGTCAACGAAACGAGAGAATTATTTTTATTTTATGCCTGTGCAGATATTTTCCACAAAATAATGACTCACAAAGAATATTATTTGAATTGAACAGTAAACCCTTACAAATAGACATACATATGAATACAAACATTTGTATCGTGCAGGGATTAAACTCTCAGTCGTCGAAAGGACTGCCATTCGATGTTAATTATGCACCACCAATATTATATTTATAAAGCTTAAACTCATGATATGATAAATAGATATTAAAGAAATATTATTTTTATGTTATTTATAAAAAAAAATGTAAGTAGAAGTTACTATATGAATCCTTGGTGAACGCTAAGAGCATGAATATTTTGAGATTGATAACCGTTAATCATGCTAAACCTCTCAGGCTCAATAATATCATACGCTCAATAAGAAACGATCATTTATCTCAGCAGAGCATTTTGAAGTCGTTGTTCAACGATTATTCATCCCAGAAATACTCGTACAATTTGAAGTCGTCGCTTCATCTAGTGGTGTCGTCTTACGCTGTGTTTGTTTGTATTGTCGCCACTCAAAAACCTTCCATCCCTACTGGTTACTTTTTGAGTTATAAGGCCGGTGTTTTCTACGTTTAACAATATTTTAAAATATAATTTTCTATGTGACAATATTGCTATCATAAATATGTTTAAAAACTAACTTTTATAATGTAATCCTGCAGCTATGAGCATTTTCAAAGGATATCATTTATTTATCATTATCTACTCTTCAAACCCTTTTATACCCTTTTATTCCTATGATACCAATACTAAGGGTCTTTCAATATTCTTTTGTCACGAGATCTAAATTTGTATATAAAATTTCAATGTTCAATTTGAATGCCAAAAGTGGTAGTAATTCTGTTTGCAAGATTTAACTTAAAATAACTAACACATATTTGAAATTTAATAAAGTTTTCTAAAAATGTAATACTATATAATTTAAACGAAATTTTCTATATACGTAAAAATACTAATATAAAATAATTAATATGAATTGTAATATCTTGAGAAATTATCTAATCTAATAAAAAATTTCACACACGCACAGGCGGTGCTCGAATGAAGAATACTAATTTTCAGTCGTTACTCATAGCCGTGTACAAAAACTCGGACCTCTTCATTGGAGTAAATTTCCCATTGAATACATCCCGAGGTTAAATGTCCCAATTATTTACGACCACGCTTTCACATTCGACCTTTCAAGCCTCGAAGGAAAACGAAAGCGCTTTTTATTGCGCCTCTTTAGCAAAACGATGAAATTAAGTTGAGTTTATTTTATTTAATAAGTCAATTCTATTTCATTGAGCGTACCATGTTTAAAAGATTTACTCTAAATTTGATGACTTTATTTATAAAAACATTAAACCGTTTATATAAAAATTATTCATGGTGATTATATATTGCCTTGGAAATAAATTTTCCCAGTAAGATTATAAAGGAACCACTATTATTTATTCTAAACATAAGTATTTGAATTTTATTCGGATTATTGTATTATAATATACATCATATTATGTCGTCATCATATCAGCCATCACCTATTCACTGATGAACATGGATTTCCCTCTTGGGGCGTTTTGCCAGCAGTTTGTCTTTTTAAGAAAATAATTGTGATATGGTAAATTTAATAAATTTTTAAAATTTTGTATAAATTTTTCGTCATATCATAGATTTAAAAATAATAATATACCTTTATATAAAATTAGAATGTATAAAATGACAATTGTTTCTTTTCAAACTTAGTATCAATTGAATAAGTATCAATGCGATCAAAGCGCTGAAAGTCTATACCGTGTAATTCCGGTATAGAAGGGCTTGCCCCTTTCTTTTCCGTGGATGTCGTAAGAGGCGACTAAGGGAACTTAGTAGTCAAGGGATGGGCAACATCGTCCGTCTTAAAACATCACCAAATTCTAACTGTGATTGCCAACCCGACTGCCAAGCATCACAATTAATGACAAAATAGAGGGAGGTCTAACAGCGGACAGTTAACAGTTGATATGATGATGATAAACGCAAAGAACTGTAGCTCTTTATAGCAAATAATACTAAAAGACTATAAAAACACTTCGCAAATTTATTCGTAAAAAAATATTTGAAAGTTATTCTAAATTAAACAGTCATGAAATGAAGTCTCATGCGTTACTTAGTTATATAAAATAACATTAATCCATTTAATAAATTAAATATTCAATATTTGAAGAAATTATAAACACTCATTTATTTATAATAAAAATGGATTTTATGAGTTTCTTGCTCCGTAATAAATAATAATAATGTATAGTAACTGTAATAGATAGAAACTTAATACTTTTATCATCAAAATATCCTCTCCAGCGGTAATACAAGAAAAAGATGTTTCATTTCAACGAATTCTATTCATAAGCGCTGCCGTCATATCCTTCGAAAAATTGCTCTGAATTTATCGAGGCGTGGTCAAACTACTATTCAGTTATAAAAGAAAATGTTCGGATTAAAATTAAATCAAAACTTTTTTATCGTTAGTTTTGATGTCATTAAGTAATCATCATATTGTATATAATACTTCGGCAAAATATAAATATATATATATATATACAAACATATATATATATATATATATATATATATATATATATATATATATATATATATATATATATATATATATATATATATATATATATATATATATATATATATATATATATATGTATATATATCTGTGAGTGTAGTTATTTTAACTAACTTGTTTAATTGCTTTCTTACACCATTGATTTAACAGCAATTTTTTTCCAAGGAGTATTATTTGTAGCTGAATTATCATAGTTTACTTAAATGATTGCTTTAATTCCCATGTCTTAAAAAACATAAAATTATTCCAAGGATTTAAAAATTCGAGATTTTACACAAGTTTTTTGGCGATTATAATTAGAATGAAAATGTATTTTAGATTAAGCTCGAAGGCGAGGCGACGGTGACGTGAACAAATCTAATGTTTCTACGCCTTAACATGGCCGGGTTAATCAAAGCTAGCAACAAATCAGTTATTATTTTCTCTCCCCTAAATTCTATTCTATATTTAAATTATAAAATCAGAGTTTAGCCATAATTGTAAGAACGTCATTCATCAAGTAAATAAATATCTTATATACTTTAAACTTTTTAGATATTTTGTACTTTTTAAGATATACCTAAAACATTTACTTAAATCGTTTTTTTTTTGATAAATGAAGCTAATTTATAAATTTTAAATTAGCATATTTTTATAAGCATTAACGTATATTGAAACACTACTTATATACTCGACTACTTAAATGGACACTTATCCTCCCGAAGCCCACGTAATCAGAGACAGTTGATATCACTCAAAATATTTTACGAGATATACCTACGTGAAGCAATAGTTTATCAGGATTTTTTTGGGATAAAATATCACATTAAATGTCCATTAAGTTCTTTGTGCCTATAGTTGCGGGACGTAGAATGTTGATAGATGATCGATGGCGTCAAAGGATGGCGTTAATTCACGGACTTACCTCAAATTCGCACTGTCCACTGCTTTATTGAACGCAGTCGAATCTGAAAGAAAAGGAAAAAAAATTAAAGTTATAGACAAATTACAGACAAGTTATAGACAAACAATAAACATAATTTTTTTTATTTTATTACTTTAAAAAAAATGGTCCAATATTACATAATACTGAACATAGAACAATAATTTCCTAACCAAATAATAATATTTTTCTTTCAGGGTAACAATGAAAAATGCATTCATTAATATAAATATACGAATATTTCAAGACCTACTGTTTCAACAAAATTAATATGAAACTAATATTGACCGATTTATATAATCAATAAATATATTTTTTTTTATTTGATGAAGATATCGAGTAACCTACACAATACGTTTATATCTTAAAATTCTTAAAAGGATACTGTCAAATTGAATTTTTTTTAAGTTAGTTAACATGTTATTATAGACTAAACCAAGTAACATTACAGATAGAGCTCCCAAATAATCGTGTACAGGCGAGTACTGAAATAAAATAAAAAGAATTTTTGCCGCTGCTGTAATGGTATCCTGCAGATAATTTATAGGGAATTTATCTATGGGCTACGAAAACGCCCCGAATAAATTCTACGTCTTATAAAAGTCCATATTTTATGTTATTACACTGGAAGGTAAAACTTTGCATACTTTGTTAGATCGATTACGTATGAATATAAAATATATACACAGTTCGTTTATATATATATATATATATATATATATATATATATATATATATATATATAATGAACGCAGTTTTCTAACTATTAAATATGAAAACAACAACTTTTTCTTTAAATTACAAATAGAATTGAATTTAAGATGAAATCAAGATCTGCAATTACTGTATTGACACTAGTTTCACATGTAAAAATATGTATTATTAATTAGGTTATTTTTAGTTAAAATATAAAAAAAAAATATTTATCTAAAATTCATCAAAGTACTTACAACACGTAAATAATTACACCTAATTATAAAATCGTTTTAACTCTTTGACAATGTCTTATTTCGAGTTCTCTCCTATTCCATTATTCTTATTTCTTTGTGAAGATTCCCAATTCACATGATTTATAAACAGTCAACGAGGCTTTACCGGAAATTTACGACGTACCGCTTAGAGAGCTATCATCACATTGCATTAATTATATTATAATTACGCTCTTAACTTTGGAATTTAATAATTATTTAAGTACGGTGGTCAACAATAATTTATTTTAATACAAATATTTGTTACATGCTTTAAAAGAAAGAATTAAATAAAAAATATAAGAATTTAATAAAAAAATTAAAACGATGAAATAATTATATAATAATATATATGATAAATTTATTCACTTAATATACAAAATTTTATTATTTATCTTTTTAAGTAAGTTAATCAGTAAGGGCCGATTGCAAAAATAAATATTTTTCAGCCAATATTAAAAAAGTAATTTTTTCCTCATAATATCGATTATCTACTTTAACTACCAGTTTATCCCTACATTCAAGTATATTTTGTGTATATGTTACGTGTAATTCTCGCTAAATCTCAACTCAGTTAATTAAAAAATACTATTATTACCTTTACATTATATAAAACAGAATCTTTAAGACTAGGTACGATAAACATAAGGTATATTCATAATCATAAAACATTTTCGTTGCCTAAACTACCCTCATATTATTTGGCGTTGATGTTACAAAGTAGATATATTTTATTTTATTTTGTAGTCCATATTTTGATGTAAAAAAACTAACTTTGCTATGTGGCTATTGTCACTTATTTGTTTTACAGAATACTTTTTATTTTTCTGGTCTGATCTTAATATTTAATATGTTCTAGTTGTTAAGCCATCACATTGTGTAAGATCTATGTGTATACTTGAATCGTGCTATATGTATCGAATCAGAATAAATAAATTATTATTATTATCAATCTTTTTCTTAAGAGTTTAGGCATTCCCGTAGTAGTCTCATACTTTGTTAAGTCTGAAATGAAATTTTTAACAAAATCTCAAAATTAACAATTTGTAATTGTAAACTTAACAAAAAGTGCAAAAAAAATAAACATGAGGGTTAAAACTTCATGAAACCAAATTAGGTACACGGAGCGTATGGTTAATTGTATTCTACAGAATTTCGTATACATAATAAATTTAAAATATTTTAAGAAGCGGAAGTGTTTGTTCTCGTCCGCAAATATACATACACACATACACACACCGAGAGAGAGAGAAAGGACACGAAGAAGGTACCTCCTACGTGTGGGAATCGCGTAAAAACTAGAATGTTTTTATGTTGTTTATTTACAAGCAGTAACTTACAATTATACTTAGATCTACATATTCACATTCCCTTTCCTTAACTTACTCGTGCTTCACCGACTTTGAATATCAATACCAGATTTAACAAGCTTCTATTGCTGACTGCTCCCGATTTACGGTAAAGCCGCTCTACGAACAGGGATTTTGTGTCTTTGTTTACCTATTTCCCTAACAGTCTCCGTTATTTATTTTATACCCAAAAAAGCCATGGACTTGTCTCTTATTTTATTCTGCCTTTTTGTTTATGCCCTTCGTTACCTTTCCAATTTTGTACATTTCCTGTGATTTTTTTTTTCTTTTTTAATAAACAGTATTTATCTTTGCGTAACATTATTTATTGTCCAAATTTTTATCCACACAAAACAGCTATATATTAATACAAGTCAGCTGAATACGAATATGTAGACACTTGTTGTTACACAACTAATAGAAATTATAATCTTTGTACTTCTATGATGTTCATTAATGTGGTGTCAATCATGTTTGTGACAAGTATAAAGAACGATGACCACTCCTCTGCTCCTATAAAGAATAGTGCGATGACATATAATGCTAGTTTATTTTCAGATGCTCAGGTAATAACTAAGTTAAAATTCCATTAAAATTCGTTCACGAGGTTCAGCATTATACTCCACCCATACAGAAAATACCAACACAACAAAATATATATATATATATATATATATATATATATATATATATATATATATATATATATATATCGACAACATATAGTGAGATATTAAATTAAACATACTGTTAAGATTCCAATACAATTGGCTCCATAGTTTCTCGTAATATGCTTTCTAAAGTATATATTTTTTTATACAACTTAGAACTGCAAACATGCTGACGGCCCACCTGATGGAAAGTGGTAACCGTTGCCTATAGACATGTGCAGTATCATAGACATAATAGAGTATACTGTTTCGCCCATGATATCCCTTATGCGTTGCCATTTCTGAGGACTCAAATGTTATTCCTCTATACCCTGTAATTTTTTTGCCATACCCCACCCTTCAAATCGAAACACAGCTATGCAAACATAATTTCTTCACGGTTGAAACACGAATGGGACAATGGTACCCAAGCAAACGACTATTGTAAAAAGTCTCCCTCTGGTCAAGTCAAGTCTCCTTCCTTTTACTCATCTCCAAACAAAATGTCCAAATTCTTTTCTAATCAACATGCAACACAAAAACGAAAGTCCCATCAAAATCCTTCCATATTTTTATACAATACGCAATGTGTAAATAGATAGCGTGATGATATGTACCCTTGTATATGGTCCTTTCCCGACCCTTGTACAATACAATAATGAAAATTTCATCAAAACCAATCCAAGGAGTACTTTCGTGATATTCAAAATACCATATATACACAGAATTTCAAAAAATTGGGTTCTATGAGTATATCAACACACATATCTACTGGTAGATTAAATTTTCGGAAAAATATTTAACGTGCATTAAGGTGCTGTTTCTGTTTTATTATAATATAGATAGATAAAAAATAACAATTTTAAATTACAGCTACTACTCTTGAATACAAGATAACATCCTTCGGCATTCACCATAGATTCGTACCTTGTACCCAAAGATTACCTTTGCTTTTGCGGTTTCTATAACTTTTGCAAGGAGAAAACTTTAATTCCCTGCAGGCAACACAAACTAGCTTTTCTTTCTCAATAGCAGAAATTTCTAACATTTACAACATAGCAACATTGATCAGATGGTTGGTCCTACCATGAATTTTTTTCCGAATTTTCAAAGCCGATCGGAACACAGATTTGGTATTTTTAATAAATACCACATTAAAAATTACCACATAATAAAACTTGTTTCAAAATATGTAAAATAGTAAAATGTCGACATTTTGGACTTTTAATGATAGAATTTATGACGAATGAAACATTAAATTTTATTTACTTGGCAAATTTTGGTATGAACAAAAGATGATATGATATGATTAAATTGGATCCGTAAATTTGGAATTTCATTTTATGATAGACCCCTAGTTTTCCATACGATAGGCTTCTGCCTATCGCACGCATTAACAATGACGAACGTATTGCAATTAGGTAGGATAAAAAATTGCAGTACAAGACTTTATTCTATTTCAAACTGTAACTTCGTAATAATATAAAGTACAGTAATTACTATTTTATTAATTCAACCGTCAACTGTCCACTGCTGGACATAAGCTTCCCCCATAAGGGGAGTTTTGCCAGTAGTTGCCACGCTTCGCAGGCGAGTTGTTAACCGCAGTTAAGCTTTTTGAGATGTTTTAAAAGGAACGCTGCTGCCCATCTCTCGCCATTCCTTAGCCGGCTCTTACGCCAGCCACGGGATAAAAAGGGATGGCCTATTCCATACCGAGACCACGGGGCCAACCAATAACAATTAGGTATTTTTTAATTCAAATTTGATTGCAAATATACATATCCAAAGCAGTAAATAATTCATTATCTTAATGATTGATAACTTGAAATTTCGACTTTGCGTAATTGATCCCTGTTATATAAATATGTTAAATTATGGCCATGTAGTCCCGGCATAGAATAGGTCACCCCTTCCTTTCCCGTCGGTGTCGTAGGACGCGACTAAGGAAAAACGAGGGATATCCAGCAACGTCCCTCTTAAAATATCTCTATTTATATTAATTCTATGAAAAAATAATTATACAATAATATTAGTATATATATATATATATATATA